TCTCACCAACGGAACTTCAGCATGCGCTGTCCCTGAATCCACGCGACTTCTTATTGACAAAACATAGCCACGAAAGCGTGGCTAAGCATGTGTTCATCGGAATCACTTACTGGATAGTCTCCTTGTTACAAATGTTTTACAGTTTGTGCTCACCTAAACCCTCTGGAAGGAGACTGGATCGACAGAACCAGATGATCACTTGCACGTACAAAGAAATGAGGCTAGTTACCGCCTGCTTCTTTGTCAAGTCTGCACAACCTGAAAAAGGCACAAGATGATTTTTGTTAGGCAATTCCTTTCATTTCTACAAAACTCCCTTCAGCAGACTAAATAGAAAGTATAAAAATAACATGGTATAAATCTTGGTCTTTGCATTTTTCACTTTCTGATTTGGAGAAAACACACACAACCACCACCAAACCAAAAAGCAACCCCTACAAAGAGCCAGATTCACTACAGGTTAAAATAAAAAAAAATAAAGCCTGAACTATTAAACACACTCACGAATAAGACATTTGTTTCTCTTGTAGTACAGATTTTTACTGTAGCAAAGGGATATTCCTTTTTTTCTCCCTCAATATGCCAAGAACAATTTACAATGCAAAAAGCTATAGAAACTCAAGTAACTGACTTTACAAGTCTCTCATTTATCCTGCCTTCATATTTTTTGCAGCAATTTGCAAGACAAGAGTTGCCTGCAATTATAAATTGCTAGCTAAGACTGAAAAAGAATCATTTTCAGCATTACCACATTCAACTGTTGTAATTTCAACCCAGTTGCCTACAAAGCTTCTTGCCAAATGTAGCCTTCCCCACCCATTTGCATGAACTCCACAACAAACTTCTTCCCTGAACTCAACGCATACTAAGTGGTAGTCCCAGCTTCTCAGATTTAAGCCCCTTCTCCCAGCCAAATTTGACTGCCTTCCAATTCTCAAAACCAACAGAAGCTCATGTTTCCACCATTACAACTGAAGCATAATTCCAAATCTTAAGGAAACATACCAAAGATTGAGTAATAGCTAGTACAAACCTTTTTCGGTAAGCTCTCGTGCTTCTTTTACAAAACAGTTTAAGACTGTACTAAGGTTGCTCAAAAGCCACTGGCAGTGCTGAAGAGACTGTAACATCTGTGGGTCAATGAAGTTGCAAGAGCCATCAAACAGTGGAACACCTTTTCAAGGAGAAACATTCCATCATCAGCCTACACAGCAGTTTCAGAGTTTCAAAGTACACTTAAAGAACCGCGTGCAACGTCATACACCGACAGGTTACTCAATAAGCTCGATTACAGGGAAGGCTTTTATGTTTGCAGAACCACTACACTAGTACTCACACGTCTGGTCAACTTCATCTTTTGTATCGACCACTTTATTCCATGTCCACTCAAGAACAAACCGTAAACTAGCAGCAGAACTTGGCTGCTCTTTAAACAAAGAAAACAAAAAATAAATTAATCAACAACTTCAAACGAAAAACCATAAAACTAAGAAACAATGTAAGAATTACTACCTTCAGATGTCCAACGTTTAATGCATCCAGTCAGAAGTTCTAAAGAACCTGTCTGGACAGCAGCTGACAATATCGCTTCTAACTGCTCCTCCTAAACATAACAGACAAAATCAAATGAGAATCTTGCATACTTTCAATATCTGAACCATCCACAGGAAATGTTTCTTTCTAACTGTATACTCATTTGGACATCACAGTGTCAATTAGTACATATGCAACTAATTCCACATTCTTAATTCTTGCCACCGGCTGGACTGCTTCTCAGTTTGAGGAACACGTTAACCTTTTCCTCTGACATCTCAACTGACTGAAGGCTAACTCTAATCTTCCTTCGCGTGCCTCTGCGTCATAGCCTCCATTTACTGAGTTCCAATTAACTATTCTCAGTAACATCCTCGGCTAACACCCATCACGCAATTTGAGCACATAAGTTCGCCATCAGGAATGCGTGAAGGGGACAGAACAGATACACTGTTTGCTTGGAAGCAGTGACGCTAAGGTCAAGCAGCTTTCTGGACTATGAAGTCATGAAACACTTACGACACTCAAAACATTAAGTTACAATTTTCTAAAATGACAGAAAAGAAGAGAAACACTTAAAGTCTGAGAGGTTTAAATTTCAGACTGAAATTTAGAACTCCAGTTCTGAAATTTCTCTTACTAGCATTCAAAAGATATCCCTGCTCAAATGCGTAACAAGACTCTGAACCAGAGAGTCACAATTCTCCAAAGGTTACTAAAACACCTCTTGATTTCCCAAGTTATTGCCCAAATGCAGTAGACATCAGAACATCTATTTGGAACCTAAGAGTCGACATCAGGCTTGCAAAATAAACAGTCTATGGGCTAGGTCAACTTGCCAAGAAAATTACTGTAGCTGCCATCCGCTGCACAAGTGTGATCTGCCCCAACACACTTCCACAAATCTGGTGCGGAGGCCAGTAGACAGGAAGATGAGGGCAGTGCCAAGACAGCTCTCCCCCTTCCTACTCATTGCTCCACGGTATGAGGACTAGCGAGCTGATCATTTAGCTTAGATCCTGCCTGGGTGAAGATGGGCTGTGCCTCCCAACGCCTCCGTCTCTCATGGAACTCTTCAGACGAGACAGAAAGGTTGGTGCACGGCAAATGGGACACCAGTGACAGAGGGGGGTGAAGTCACTGCGGTGGGACAAAGCAGAGAGGAGGTAGCGGGTGGAATGAGATAAAGGGGCTTAAGGTGCTGCAGCAACAAGAGGGCGGTCTAAGAGGCGTAAATTGGGCTACTGTAGCACAAGGCAAAGGCTGCAGAGGGAAAGATCTGCTTTGAGAGGCCGCAGAAAAGCCTACTGATGAAGAGAAAACGAGGGAAGTGGTGATGACATTGTCAAGTAGAGCTGACAACAGCAATTGTTTGCCACAGCCCACTTCCTTGGAAGCACCCGATCATGTTGAGTGCAGCCAGCTGACGTCTGCAATGGCGCGCATCCGAGTGAGACACCGCCATCATCAGCTACTGCACTGAGCCTCAGGCTTGGAGAAACTGACGGGGATGGAGGTTGTTCTGAGGGAGAGACGCTTTACGCTGCACATGACCAGCGCTGACTGCACGCTTCCTTGTGCGTCTGTCTCTGCGGCACGGAATTAATTGTTGGGTCTCCAAAAAAGACAGAGCTATTAGGGCTGTTCCCAGTCACACTCAGTAGTCTGGATCCAAGAATACTCTTACTCCTGCTGACTAAAGTCAACACGTGCATTTCAGTGCAACTTGCAAATAACATCAAAATCAGACTATCGTGTCTTGTAGCCTCGACAGCCCTGTCACACACAAGAGGGATGTATTTCCCCCTTGATTCCCTGAAATGCACTCACCTGACTCAAACTGGATGGCTGGACATCAACTAGTCTTGGAGACAGCAAGCCAGCTAAAAGACACCTACTGTAGCTGTCATGAACGACTTCACTTATTGCAGGACCAGATCTCTTTAAAAAATTCAAGGTCTGAAACATCAATCAAAAACTACTGATTAATACAGCGATATTAGGCAATCGCTAAGGTTCTAGATACCCACTAAGAGAAACAGTACCACTGTTCACTTAAGCTCTCAGAAAGCTTGCATCAGTGACACGATTTACGTTAGCAATCTCGAGTAAGCATTACTGGATGGAGTCTTAAAGATGGCAGCCAAACAAACAGTTACAGTTCATTAAAAATATCCCGTAAATCAAAATATCAACCCTTGCAATGCTTAATTAAGTGCTTGATAGCTTCTCTGTCAACACACAGGCCTTGCTTTTTCCCTGAATGCTGACTCAAAATACTTTCTAGACAAGTTAAAATTAACACACAACTTTAAATCACACTTTGGAAGACCCTTTCTACCCCTGTTTGTGCAGAAGCTGACTTCTGTTGGAAACAATTAGTGAGCTGAAGCTTAATTCAAAATTATTTGTCACAAGCTCTGCAGTGGCTCAGATGTTTTAACTTGGCCAAGTTTGGGAGGAAAAAAAATGTCATTTCTTCTCAAACTGTTACATGATTTTTCTTTTTCTTCGTTCTGTCTTCCTGTTTCAAATTAATTAGGGACCAAAACCCTAACTCAAGACTATGCAGGCAGTTCGACTCATGAGTAAGAAAGAAGTAACAGCTTTGCCCAACTTCACAACACTTTTGTTCTTGCTCCTAGAGCAGCGCTGTATTCCTTTCTAGTCATTCAATCCCTGATCGAGCTTCAACAGGAGACAGGGGCACGCTTACAATCCCAACGGTGGACCTCAAACATTCCCAGTTGCATAAAACTGGCAGGATACAATTGCAATTGTGCGTGTGGATGGGCAGAATGAGCATAGAACAGTTTCTGATGCCAAAAGTGGTGCAATAGGAAACCTGGAAAATGTAGAGCTCTTGACATTCTCAATAAAGACACAGTAAAAGATCACCTCCTTCTGGAAGCCGGTGCAAGTCATACGAATGACGCCAGAGTTCAGCAAGCACGTACCATCTGCAGAAACAATGAACGTTTGACAACCTTCCATACTCTCACAGTCATGCTATGACCAGTTTACATTTTTTAAATAGCAGTATCTGCAAAGATCTAACCAAGAACCCATTTTCTTCATCAGATCACTTACAAGCTTTTCCAAAACAAGAATTACTGCATGTAGACATCTTATCTCTAGTGCTATCGAGGTGCTCTGCTTGGAGCTTCACTTCAAAGTCATTTCATTTCATGACCATCTCCACTTCACAGGCTACGTTACGAAAGCACCAAAACCAAAACTCGGCAGACTGTCACACATGGTTCACAGCATTAAGTACCTTGTTAGTAAAACGTAAGCAGAGTTGGGATTGTCGGGGTTTGGGGTTTTTTGGGTTGAGTTGGGTTTTGAGTGACAAACCATGAACAGGAAAAACAATAAATAGCATTTGATCTCAATTTAAGCTTAGCGCTGCTAAAAGCAGTGAAATACCTACCAAAATTATAGGTGCTTGGATTAAAAAACTGCTCAGGTGGTGGATAAGAAGGAGGAACTCCCCGACTTAGACTCCGCTCATGTACCAGAATATCCAAAATGAGGTCTGGAGAAGTCATGCTTATTACAGCATCCAGTGACCACAAGGCAAAATAGGTGCAATCACAAAGGAAATCTTCTGGCCTTGAAGAAAACAAGTGTGTAAGCTAAACGCCGACAGTCAAATGATTTATTTGGACAGATACTGAAAACAGCTTAATAAAAATCTACCTTAGAGAATCTGGCATCTGAGCATGATACCAGCGATTTATGTCAAATACTCCCAAATAAGCAGACGGTTTTCCCTGACCATAGGTATTCACTTGCCAGCTGAAGATTGATACACTGGTGTCAGGAGATATTACTGTAAAAGACAAGACATGTTTTTTATTTGTAGAAAATATGATATAGCTGATATTTTAAGCCAAACTAGAAAGTAGCGGTTTAAATTCTGGCCTGTCACTCATGAAACACAACACTTGCAAAGAAGAACAGAAAAAATTTACAGAAGAGGAAACATCGATGTGATGGGTCAGCCTGACTGAAACCATTTTTCCTGTTCCAACTGTATCCGTTCGAAGCCAAATCAAATACACGATTATTAGCTAATTCAGTTTTCCAGACATTAAGAGCTGATCAAGATGTTTAGCTAGATGAACAGATGAGCAAAAAAAAAAAATTCTAGGAACACACACATTGCTACTTTTAGAAAGCATACAAATATTTATCAGAGGATAACTGAATTTGTAAACCCAGAGATGCAAGATAATTATTACAAGATAATGAAAGGCACCATAAGAGTTTTAATTGCGTATACGGAGAAGGAAAGCTATTGCTTTGTTGTTGTGACCAAGTGCAGACCTGGCACTTAGTCTTGTTGAACCTCACACAATTGGCTTTGGCCCATCGATCCAGCCTGTCCACATCCCTCTGCAGAGCCTTTCGACCGCCAAGCAGACCAATGCTCCCACCCAACTGGGTGTCATCTGCAAACCTGATGAGGGTGCACTCAATCCCCTTGTCCGGATCATTGATAAAGATATTAAATTGAACTGGACCCATTACGGAGCCCTGGAGAACACCACTTGTGACTGGCCACCAACTGGATGCAGATACAGACGTAGTTTTGAAGAGGAAAAGAAGAATTCAGGTAACATTCCTAAGCAATGGAAAGAATGATCTTACTGTTCAAAGAAGATGGCTGGAGGAATAGAATGACTGACCACCGTCATACAGATGACCCCACCACCATACACCACAACAGCATGTCAGCAAGCATAAAACAAACCCTATTTTTTCCCTTAAAAAAGAAGTCTCACATAACTTAAGCACCCATATTTTTCTCTTTAAATAAGCCCAGCAAGCTAGTCTATACAGCTGTTTCAGACTTGCAGACTGGGGATACAGAACAGCTTTCCTTGCTTACATTCCAAACCCATTTGTTTTAGAATAACCAAAGACGGACATCAGAACAAACCTTCATTAACACCATCCTCTCTGTCAACGTGGTTCCGAAATTTTTCTACAGTCTGACAGCTGAGTAATTTAGTATTGCTGGTCTGTCCTCTCAAGGGAAAGACTCCACCCGTGAGATCTAAAGTGTACCTTTCATCACAGTATTCCAAACCCTGGGGAAAAAACAACAGGAGAAAGAAAAGGTCATTTGGAGATAAAACCACACATTATACCTAAATATGAAAGAATGTATACATCTAATATACTATGCATATTATACTGTGTATTTCCCACGAGCTTATTTCTGATGGCAAATAGAAACTACGTCTGACATGCAAGAGAAGTAAGTGTCATAGAATCATAGAATCATCTGGTTGGAAGAGACCTTTAAGATCATCGAGTCCAACCATTCACCCTGCACTGTTAGGGTCCCTAAACCATGTTGCTCAACACCAAATCCACACGGTTTTTAAACATCTCCACGGATGGGGAATTAACCACCTCCCTGGGCAGCCCGTTCCAATACTTCACAACCCTCTCTGTAAAGAAATTTTTCCTGATATCTAACCTAAATTTCCCCTGGCGCAACTGGAGGACATTCCCTCTCGTCCTGTCATTCATAATGTGGGAGAAGAGACCGACCCCCATCTCCCTACAACTTCCTTTCAGGTAATTGTAGAGAGCAATAAGGTCCCCCCTCAGCGTCCTCTTCTCCAGACTAAACAGTCCCAGCTCCCTCAGTCGCTCCTCACAGGACAAGTCTCTAAACCCTTCACTAGTTTTGTTGCTCTTCTCTGAACCTGCTCCAGCACCTCAATGTCCTTCTTGAAGTGAGGGGCTCAAAACTGGACACAGTACTCAATGTGTGGGCTCACCAGTGCTGACTATAGGGGGACAATCACTTCCCTGCTCCTGATGTCACATGGTAACAGGCAAGCTTGGCTGTAAAGGCTTTGTATATTTTCAAAACTTAGCATTTCCCTAACACTATTTAGATCCAAACATATTTTGCAGAATTCCTTGCAACATCAAGGTTTCTTTACGAACCGAAATACGTATTTACAAAGAGATGTCTGAAATAACGCAATACAAACGCCTGCAAAGCTCTTTGCCCCATGTCTTGATTACGGAACTGATGAAGTTAGAAAAGTCACGGCATTACGAGCAGCTAAAGCTCTGGCGAGAGGTACTACCTACAGGCCCACCACTCGATGGAACACGCATCCTTCTGCAGCAACACAGTGCCGCGTGTTCCAACATTCCTATCAAAGATGTACAGTTTCATAGCCTCAAGGCTGATTCCTGGAACATAAAGCACCACTGCATAGGCAAGTCTTTCAAGCCCCTGTCAACTCTATTCAATGAACAAGGTCCAACAGTAGATTCCTCCTCACGTATTCAAACGTGGCCTGGTAAACGGGAACAACTCTTCTATTTTCTGGCACTGAAGATGGACGAGAAACTTGACTCAGACGACCATGCAGGTGGACAGTCATGTAGTGCTGACCAATCTCTGACTACAAGGAAGTTTTCCGAGACTCAAAGTGGCCACCATAGAGCATCGATCCTGTCCTACTGCATCTTCTGGGAGGTTGGGGGGTTTGGGAATTGTTTTGCATGGGTTTTTTTGGCAGTAGGTGTTCTCAACACATCTCGGTATGAACCTACATGTGTACAGGGCTCATCTGGAAGCTAGCTGAAGAACCTGCCTTTTCTCCTGAGAGGGTCCATCTGTTTAGCTCTCTCTTCAACTACCTTGTAAAATTGGTTCTGGGGTCAATCTTCCACAACACTCATCACAGGGAAGCAGGAACAACGGAGTAAAATGTCTGAAATCCAGAGACTGGTGCCTGACACCTTTTAAAAGTTGTGAATGGATTACTGGTTGCATAGTCTGTAGTGTGTTAGAAGTCTTCCATTAACTACACAACAGCTTGCTCAGGTCACAAACACAGTAACATTTAATTACTTAGCGTGCTTTTTTTACGAGTGTCATTCAGAATTTCTAGTAGACTCATTTTTAAAGGCTCATGTAGCATTTCAACCCTCTGAAGTAAAAAATGGCAATCATCAGAACTCGTACAGGAAAATAAGATGACCAAGATAAAGAATTGCCAAAAAGTTAAAGGTTCCAGATTTTAACATTGAAGTGTTGAGACAGAACAAAGTAGCCACAAGAGAAATGGATATAAAGAATCGGGATTTTTCCAAAGCAGCCGACAGTACAAGGTATTGTCTTTGCCACTGCTAAGACTGTAGCTAAAAATAGCCTTCAAAAGATGATAAAACAAAGTGGAATTTGAAAAATAAAACTTGAGAAAGATTAAAGAAACTTTCTCCTATCGACCTGCCAAAGTGCTTAGAGCACTACAAGAGATGCAGCAGCGAACTGCAATGAAAGCCCTCTTAAAATTGAATCACCCAAGCAGGGAGCACTATTCCTCTAGAGCACTGTAGCTTTATGTTATAAAAACCCAGCACATCAACAAAGGTAAACGGATGACGTACATATTTAGACCACAATGATAAAATATTACTGATTTGGCTCCATGACAGAGAATCTATTTTAAAGAAACACCACCATTTCCAAACACCTGATCTTTATCTGTTCAAAAGAACATTTACCAATGAGGAAGGAGCTTTCCTACATCTAAGGAGAAAGAAAAAGGTCCAAATTTAAACTCAAAGATATCAAAACACACAGTCCCTATAAGAAGAGAGTACCATGATACAAGAATCACCTCTATTTCATTCCATAACTGCTGAGAATATGCAAGAGAATGTATCAAAATAGGAGGTAAGATTTGCTGTGAATTAAGACTGCTTTCCTCTCAAAAAGATTTTGGAAGAGTTCCAAGCATACTACTCAACAGAATTATACATTATACAGATGCGTCTTATATCTGTCAGATATCTGAGATATAATGACACCTCATCTATATCTTAAACAAAACATCTTTGGAGCCAGTTCTAAACATTCATGTACACTCTTCCGACCAAATCAGACCACTGTTTACCATATTTACAGATTTTGCTGGCTTTAAGAGGAGATTTCTCAGGTAACCCAGTCAGTAGTAGGAAGAGTTATCTTTACAGCTACTGTATTTCAGGACGAACACTATAATAGACACTGTAGGTACATTTCATTTGAAATCCACCTGACACAGCTCAAAAGAAAAACAAGAAAACACAATCAAAGATCGGAAAAGAACAAAGATACGTGACCGTATTTTAAGAAAGGGTGACAGGCAGAGGCTTATTCAAGTCTGCAGTTTGCTTAAAACAAAGCTATTCACAGCCCTCTCTTCTCTTCCTACGTGCCATTCATTTGGTGTTGAAGTCAGGAATAATTTTGTTTGTAAAAGCTGCTTCCTCTTCAGGAATTGCATTTATACGAGCTCTTTGCAGAGGAATCTGCTTGGAACACATGACACTGCTGTATACAATTCTACGACTTGTTTTCCAAAAGTACGGACAAAGGCCACGTCCAGGAAGACTCACCAAAAGATTTTTTTTTTAAGTCAGCTCTGCATTTTGATGGTAAATATTAGCCCTGCTGACTGAACTGATACTCAGAGAAAGTCCTGTGCTCGTCTTTTCACGTATATGCACATCTTACCTCATACAGGACTTGTCCTGATGCCAAGCGTTTTCTGTCACCAAATGCTAACTGCATCAGACGTAAACTCACAACATCACCTTCCCTGGAAAAGGTACAAATTACAAAATTTGATTACAAAGCTGCTTTATAGTCCTCATTATCATTTTATTGGTGCTAGACTGAAGGTTTCTTAAGAGCATGCTCTTGCTGAAAAGAAAAACACCACTTCCCAAAACACGATCGTTGGTCCCATTTAGCCGCTAAAACATAAAGGAGGAAGTTCGGACACTAACAGCTTCAGGGGCAAATGCCAACCATACAGTGTGAGAGCTTCAATGGGCGGTATGGACTAAGAACTGTTGGAAAGAGTTCTTTACCGAGAATAGCTCCCCATCAAAAACCGCTTCAATGTCAAACTTAAAAGGATTTCTACTCCATGTACAGCTGAGCTGATTAAAGAGCTTGCTGACGCTGAAAGAGAGAGAGATCTCTCTCCCTTTCCCTAACCACCAAAACTCCAGTCCCTCTCTTGCATACACTGCACCCTTCCACGTCCTGATTGCATTCATTAGCCCAGCAGGAAACCAGTGACTTTTCTGCTGAACAGTGATCCTTCTCTGCCAGCTGAGCTGAACTGGCTCACGAAGGCTCCAAAGACTGCTGGAGTTGGCCCAAGGGAATCAGCCATACTGTCACCTCCCTCCTTTAGGGGCAGCAGGCCATCGTATCGGCACATGTAGTGTTCTAGATCCGCAACAACTACTAGATCCGCAGCCTCAACTACTTTGCGTGGTATTTTGATATCGTGGTGTGAATATCAAACAAATCATGAAGCAGTCCGCAAGAAACAAAGGAAATCATTCAAGAACGCAACCACAAAAATATAGCCACTGTTCCTTTGCCTTCTTTCAGAAGGTAGGATATAGTAGGTCCCTCTTCATACCTGCTCAATCCCGTAAAAATCGCATTGTAACCTTAACGCCTTCCATACCTGAGAAAATCTCCTGCACGTCCAAATAAACAAAACAAACACGCATATATTAACTGTATGTGAACAAATACTTAAAAAGAAACCTTAATTCAGTGGCTTATAGTAAGTTTTTACTCACCTTTCTTGTGTTGACTGAACAACCCACAAGTAGCAACAATTGCGAGGGTCATTCTCAGGCTCTTGAAAAGTAACAGCACACACAGGAATCCTTCCTCCTTCAAGCTGAGAATGGTGCCTACAGGTTTAAAAGGAGGAAAAAAAAAAAAAAGTTAAGCCTGCTGACCCTAAGTGTTTGTGGAAGGGTAGAAGCATTTTCTGAGAAAAAAGCACCTTACATGCTTCTCCCCAAAGTACAGAAGGTCGTACTTCCATCTCAAACAGTGAGTCAAGGAAGCGACGACATCTTACGCAACAGGCGAGAGGTGAGGAAATCACTCTCCATCAAATGCAAGAACCTGGGTTTACGTCCCCCTCTGCCTGACGAGGAGGAACACAAACGATCGCTTCAGCTGCCAGGCAAAAGATCGTTCCTACTGTCGCAGCCTGCTTCCATATGGAGCTTCAAACGCAGCACATCTTCTGAACAAATTTAAAACCATGCCAAACGGAAGGGGTTTCTTGTTTCTCTACCTGCACTACATAACGCATTTTTCTTCCAGACTTTTCAACCTTATGGGTACCTTCACCATCTGTTCTTGCTGCCTAATTATTTCTCCGCTGTCTATTTTTGCAGCCAATACTTTCTGGTCAGTCGCTGCAGATTTGCTTAAGGGAATCCCTATCTGAATTTGGTCAAACATTTCAAGTGAGATGGCTCTTTGGCAGATTTAAAATCATCACCTCTTCATTTTTCTTTTCCTTAGTTCTCTTCAAACTAACATAACTTCCTTAAGCAAAAACTCGAGACCCCTGCACCTCCAGGCATGGCCAAGTGTAAAGGCCTACTTACTCCCTCTGCAGAGTTTTCACGTTCCACAGTGACAGGTAGCCATCTGAAAAACCCACAACGAGCTGATTGATTCTGCTTAGGTAGCACAGGGTTGATATTGCTGTTCCTGAAGGATTTTGTAATTGAAAACAGAGATGTCTCCTTTCTCTGGTCACAGTTTCTCTTCTTTGTGGAACGTCAGGAGGAATTCCAGTGACCACTTCGAGATCTACACACACACAATAAATGGAAGCGTTAGGATGGTTAGGTTGCGTTTTAGACACTGGCGTGACAACAGGTATACTCTAATTCTACAGCCCCAGGTAAAACAACCACTTAACACAACACTTTTTTTGCAATTTCTATTTTATATGTATTTAAAGAAGATCAGAACTCTCGATCGGACAGGTATTCTCGCTCGTAGTTCAAAGCCAGGCGAAAGCGTAACCTTCACAGACCAATCCTTCTTGGACTCTCTACATCAGGAGTTTGGGCCTCAGGATGAAGCTATCTGAAGTGACGTCAACTCCTGAAGCCACTGTTGTCACAGCCAAAACAGTGTATGCAATCTCAATGCATAAATGAGGGATTTCATTCATCCAAATGCATGGGTTTTGCTAAGGCAGATGAATTTAAAAAAACAAGCCTAAAATTTGCCCCATGGTAATTAACAGATGCAGAACATTCTCAAGAAATAGGGCATCTCCAGTGCAACTTCCTATCAGGCAGCTGCACTGACTCAGATGGTAAAACTCCTACACCTCACTGGCAAGAATCGTAGTGACACAGGGATCTGGGTGGGAGGGGGGCATCTGTGACATCAGAAGGCGGGTTAATCAGTTCAGGACTATACCATGACAAACCGCCATCTGCAGTCAGTAGTCATGAATGTCTGCACAGCAGTGTCTTCAAAGCAGGGTGCATGTTGTTTATTTCAAAGACACCAGTTTTCTTACTTTTAAATTCAAGTTTTAAAACTGCAACCTTACCCGATGCTTCTGTTTCATTCTGACTGCAGGATAAATCATCCAAACAAAGGTCAACCAGAAGTAGATGGCCAACATCTGTAGCCACTGCTGCCACTCCAAAGAGCCATCGCAGGCTCTGATGTAGGTGCTGAGTGCTCACACTGGCTCCTCCGTGATTAGTTATGGGTTCTATAGCAGTAACCTGCAGGAAAACGACAACTTAATATTTAAGCCGTTTCACAAGCTAAACGGAAATCATTGAAAAGTGAAGCCAGAATTAGCACATTTGCAACAAGAAAGTAAATACAGGATCATAAGACTGAAAACCAAAGCATTGTTTCCAATTAGGTCCACAAAAACAAAAAAAGAAAAAGAAAAAAAACCTCTGTACAAAAATCTGTTACTGCCTTCCATTTACTAGATTTCCTACGGTTGTTTAACTGGATTTCCATTTCCTACTCGGAAGTAATTGACTCTAAGAAAACACAGAAAATCCGTTACATGCAAGTAACTATCATCTTTAAGAGACTTAAGTACGAAAGCCAAACTAAAGCCAGTTCTCCCCCTGCTCACAGTCCCAAGGCACTGTGATACAGTCTATGTCTTCTTTGTGAAACAGGTATCGGGATAAATCCTGGCTGTGAGTCGGACGAGGCAGTGGTCAAGCTGCGTGCTAAACACATCCTTTCCACAGGAAAGGGTTGCAGGGAGGTACTAGCTTAGCAAAATTCACACTAGTCCTCCTTTAGAATAAAAATGACAACCAGATAAAGTAAAGAAAGTTCTACATGCACACCAGCCCTTTTAGGAACGTTAACTAAATGTTCAAAAGCCAGCCGAAAGCAGTGGCAAAAAGAACAGCAGCTTGTGAGACAAAAGGCTAACTCCAGCTAAGGAAGAAGCGCACACTGCTCTTCAACAGGCGAAGCAGTCTCTGTGCAACTTTATTCCCAGCTGAAGACAGACCTTCCAGCGCCTGCAACGCATCCCAAGGCAATACTGACTGCTACAGCAGAGATGCAGCACATGAAGACTCCTGCACTGAAGCTATGCAACACAAGAACACAGCCCAGCGTTCGGCCTCCTTACAGAACACAACACAATGAAAACAGGAAGCTTTACATCAACAACAAAGTTTTACATGAAAATAAAACAAAGAAGCCAGCATCACAAAATTTTCGATATTTTTTTTTTACGCCATGAGGTGGGGAAAAATAACCAAATCCCTCCTAAGCCCCGAAGTTTTCTCCTCTGCCGTTATCGTGCACTTGCTATGACTACACTGCCTGGCAATCTACGACAGAATGTACCCATCATCCTGGGCACAAGAACTCTGATCTCACCTTGGGCCAGAGTTACTCTAAGTGAGTGTCTACCTGTACAACTTGGTTGTCCACAGAAGATATACCCACATGGAAAACAGTTCAGAAATTAAGGTGCTCATGAAAGCCTTAAAACAGTAACCAGAAAAACTGCAGAAAGTGACGCTAAGAAGAGATCTGCACGTTACTTTTAAAAACCGTCAGTGTGAAAATCAGGGAAACGTTCAGGCAGATGAAACACATTTTAGGTAAGCTGGAAGTTGCCAGTAGCAGTTACAGAATAAATTCAAAACGTACGGAGAGTGGCCAAGTGCAAGTTTTATCCACTCAGTTTTGCTCACCCTTGCTCCCACTCACAACTTACAAGTCAACAGCCCAACGAGCAATACCCGTGTCCTGGCCGTGCCGATCTAACTAATCGAGTAGCAAAAAGAGAGAAGCAGAAGGAAAGCAACAGACCAAACGTGCTCGTAATCAAGAGCGTTCAGGGTGTAAGAGCAAAAATGCAGATAAGCTTTGGCTTTATTCCAACATTCATCACCCTCATCACACAACAGCCAACTTCTCCCTCCAAGGCTTCTTCGTCTTTTCTCTTGAAGCACTTTTTTGTGGCATCGAAAAACCCCCTCATACAACCCCTGCTTATAACCACATTCTATTTCAAATCACTTCTAGACACACAGATTCGACGTGTGACGTGATCCTTCTTAACCCTGCCTTTTCCCAGCTCACCCAGATTTAAGAAATAAAACTTAACAAAGCCACGTCCCTCTTCCCAAACCTAAGTTACCTATGGATCATAGGCTTCTGCCAGCACACAGCTTGCCGTTCCATCTAAAACTGTCATGAAGACGGTAGGCCAACTAACACCGAGGAGCACCAACCGAACTCGCATCTTCAGAAATTACCACAATACAAATGCTTACGACTGGTAATCACACTGCAGCATGACAAACAAACAAAACTCCCACTTGTATTCCAGCAAGTCCAACCAAGTCACCTTATGGAAAGCTGGGTATTAAACAAGCATTTATTTGTTGCAGATTCCAAGATGATAAAAAGACAGTGAATCTTGAGGTTCTGTGAACTTAGGCTGATTCTTGTTTACAAGAAGATAACGAGAGTAGGGGACACGAGACCATTTGAATTTATGGCTTATACAAGACAGAAAAAATTAGTAACGTTACACCAGGGTATCCCATCTACCCAAACACAAGAATCTATAAGCAGAAGTTCAAGGCCTGCAGATGAAAAGTCAATCGTTCAACAGTCTGCTGGAAAACTGACTAACGGCTCTTCTTTCCTATCCCAAGTCAACATAAAAATGTGTTCTGCTCTAAAGTCACCTGCTTGTCAGCTTGAGATTCACAAGAACGTGTCTAAGTCATTTACAGCACAACTAGGGAAGTTTCAGATATTTTAAAGACAGTACGTCTGACCGAAATTAACCATTTAGCAAATGTGTGCTACAGACACTTTGAAGAGAAGGGTTTGTTTATTTTCACTCTGGCCAAAAAAAGATCATTTTCAAAGCCTTTTTGTGGCAGTGGAGAATTCGGTAACTATGTGCTCTACAATAAAACCAGAAAACTTGGTTTCCTCTCAGTAAACTCCAAAGAGAACAGTACCGGTAAGCTCCAGGTTTTACATCAAGGCTCTCTTGACCAGAGACTCTGAAGTGACAGTGGGCTCAGGCAATATAGAAAAAAGACCTCCTACAAAAAGACACTCCAAAGCTTTTCCTGAAACAGGATTATGCAGCACCTAACAACACAAAAGCTTCGTTTCACCGCTCAAAAAGTACATACCCTTCCCGGCAGAACAACTGCTTTAACCACTCTTGATATTCCAAGGTCGTACAGACAGAGAACGCTTCCCTCTGCTTCTTCCAACCCAACCAGCAGTCCAGTTCTCTTCTGCCAGGAAAACTCCTTCACCACACGAACGGTGGGAGCCTCTTCATTTACTCCACTGAAGCGGTACGCGGAGATCCACTCTCCTGTCACAGAGTTCACTACCTCAAGGTGAGGACCACTTGCCAGCCATGCCAGGCCATTTCTCCCTGGAAGAGAAAAGAAAGCTGACTAAAGCAAATGTCCAACAGCGACTGAAAACAACTGAGAAGTCACTGTCACTGCCCCTTTCCTGCAGCAAAAGCACCTAACAGAGAAAGACCGACTCACCTGACCGTCTGCTCAGTTCTTTAAAATCATCCATTCAAATCCTCAAGCAATACATCTTACAATGAACAACCTTAGTGTTTTACATTTGTACTTGCCATTCCTGCACTGAAGAAATCGGATTGTTTGAGATAAAGGTTACCATATATTGATCTATAGTCTTTATACCATACTCAGCTTGGATTTACTAGAGATCATCTTAAAGCAGCTGGGAATACGACTCTTAAAGCATACTTCACGTATAACACATCTAAACCTATTCATTCCTAGTTCTTAAGTTTACTGGACACAGGCCTACTTGGGGCAGAGACTTGGACTTCAACAAGAAATTACCTTAAAAGGGGCACTCTCTTAGTAAATGCAAACTTTTACATGTGCTGATCACAGAAAGAATTCAACACGTTTCGTGAAGCTCAAAGGAAGTATTAATTCAATTACTGCATTTACAATCAGGTAGGAAGATTCTACCTGGTCTTAACAGAAGCCTAGACATCCAGATAGGCACCCAGCTCCACCTTCAGATCACCTAGAAAGTCAACTACCTAATCTGCTCAGCCACTTCCCGCAGCTCTCACTGGGTACTCATCGGCATCCTGTGCAATCTTTGGGAAATACGGCTGCAGCACCTAAGAGCATTATTCTCTTCCTACGGTATTTATTCAGACTGGGCAAGAAAAAACAGGGGGTTTTGCCTCTGTAATATTGTAGAAAACCTACTTCTCCATGTGGTATTATGACAGTCATAGAGCTTGAGTTGGTACAACTAAATACAGCCCAAAACAGCACTTTCCTTTTTTTTTTATTAAAAAGTGAAGAGGACTCACTGACTCAGCATGATGAAGTAAATTAATTTAATAGTATGAGCTTGATGCAGGTTGTTTTAACTCCAAAGATGAACTAGGCTCATATTTAAATATTAGCGTTTTTCATCAGTAAAACATCCTTCCTGTTCTCTCAAAACCTGATGCACCTTAACAGCACCACCCCGACACAGTTCATACTATGACCCTCTGCTCCACGTTACTTCCAGGCAGTAAGAATTTCATACCAAGGCCAACTTTAAAGGAAAATGCTCACCTCCGGAAAACTTCCCACGCAGCACAGCATCTAGAGCTCTCTCATCTTCCCCAACTGCCTGAATAGTCACCTCTGGAAACTGCAGCAGGCTGCTCGTTACCTGAGCCGTTAGGTCTCGCATTCTTCACTGTAAATTAAGACCAAAATGCAAAAACAGACTCCTGTCAGGCATAAATATCTTTGAGATTGATACAAGTTTCACCACTTTGCAGTGAATAATCTATACACCGCCTGTAGCTCTCTTCCTCAAAAAAATGCCACTCAGGATAGTTTTTCATCTCACAGCAGAGCAAAAGGAGATCACCAACAAAAAGGGATACAGAGGTATTGACAAGGCAAGTAACTGGAAAAAAACACCAACACAGACTTCAAGTCTACTCACAGAGGTTAGTCAGATGGGATCTCAGGAAAATCCTATGTTAAAAAGCTTTTCAGTAACAGGTACATGTTTCCATGGGTCCTTTCCCTTGATTTTGGACTTTGACTTTGATTGTCAATTGTTTGCTAGGAGATTTAACGCATCATTTATGTATTGTTCCCTTTTTGCATGTTTATGCAGAGCATGAAGGAATACCAAGTTCTTAACTACCTTCACTCTCAAATTCTTCCCGAAAACGCACCGTTGGTATCTCCACATTACAAGCAATACCGACTTTCATCGCTCCTCAGAGAGAAGGTAATTTTCCATACACTTACGATGCAGACATAACACAGCACTTGTGTTAACGTGTGAAACTGCACGCTCAGTTTGCAAGGAGAGCTAAAAACCCCTGCGCTTTTAGAAGGGACACCACCCAAGACACAGCCGGTCAGCTCTTAACTCCCTCTTGCATGTAGAGACGCACCGTCCCACGGAGAAAGGCTGCAGCTGCCAGGCGGCGTTCCTTCACTCAGCCACATGCAGAAGCTACAGTGATTTCAGGGAAGTGTAACTTGCTGAGCAGAGAACGGACAACATTGCCTGACACTGGTCAGATCATGTTCTCTAAGGAAACAGGACACAGAGTGGGAAGAAGCCAAAGAGGAAGAAATGGAAGAAAAACTAACTTCTTTTGAGAAAAACAGCACCCACTTTGTTGAATAACCAGTAACGATGACAATTGTAGAGTTTTTGAACGTGTCTTATTCATGTTCAATGACATTTTCCCCAGAAAAAAAGGAAGCAACTCACAGGCACTGGAGGAGCAGTAGATGGAAAAGACACTTGCTGCACCTTAGTAGTCACCTTCAGTGAATGGGCACTTTGCCATAATTTATTCCTGCAGAAAGAGGATTTAGTGAGTGAGCTAGCAAGTGACCTAGTGAGCACCATTCATTTTCTCCTTTCTTTCCCACTTAGCCAGAAAACCTCCCCCCAGTGTCTTAGGCAAGAACACTCAAACACAGCTTTCAGATCGTCTTGCAGAGTTTGGGCAGATGCTGGCTCCACAAGCTCTCCAAGAAGCACGAATCTACAGCAGAAGGGGAGAAGAAGGAAGAATTTTAGCCCCCTTTCCCAACAGCTCCCAACAGCTACGATCGTGCATCTGATGCAGACCACAGATTTGACTTCACTTCATTTAAAAATGAAAACACAAACCAACCCAGCACAGACCAGAATCTCACACTAGAGCCCGTTTACCCACCTACCTCCTATGGTTATCCTCTAACACGACTACGCTTTCCCTCAAAAGTTGCCATCCTGTCTATCGTGGCTAAGCTAGCAAAAGTT